CCTCTCCGGGTTCCTTCTGGAATTCTCCCTTCCCAATCATCTCTGGATTCACAAAACAATGACTCGCTCCGGAGTCAAACAGAACATGAGTCTCTACCTCACCCATTAATAAGGTCCCTACACATTCAACCCCTAGAATGCTAAGACACTTAACAGAACACGCAGACACAGACAACAAGCAACAGACAGAACTCAGAAAACTGTAAGTAATAGAACTCACCAGTGATCGGTCGAGAAGCGCTCGGATCTCCACTTCCGTCCGCGGTTGCTGCATACACTCTCGGCATGATGGCCTGCCTCTTGGCCGCTGGTGCCAGTGCATCTCCTGCACGCTTAGCCTGAGAAGCGGCTTGCCCAGCTGCTCCTGACCTCGGACAATCACGCTTGTAGTGTCCCGGTTCTCCACAACCGTAACACACAACAGAAACGCTGTCTCCATCCGACACTCTCACCATCCTTGTGTCTGGCTCAGGACAATCCCACACTTGATGCTCCCGGCTTCCACAACGGTGACAAGCCCCAGCTGAATGCCTACAAACGCCCACATGCACCTTCCCGCATGATCCACACACACTGCGGTTCCCACTAGACTTGGCTGGAACATTCCTCCCAAACCTGCGGTTCTGTCCTCCAGACGATTGACCACTCTTGGCCACGGCAACCACAGTACTCGCCTTTGACAAAGCTTCCTCGGCTTGTCTCGATTCCAACAGTGCTGCTTTCTCCACAAGCTCAGTGACCGTCGCATAGTCACGCACCAGACAACCGTTCCTTAGCTCAACTCTTAGCCCACTCATGAACCTTCAGATCAGCTTATCCTCAGTGTCGTAGTCATGTCCCACGTACTTACGTAACTGGTTGAACTCGGTCTCATACTGCCGAACCGTCTTGGTCCCTTGGCGCAGATACAAAAACTCAGCCTCCAACTGATTGTAAGCTTCCTGCGGGAAGTACTTACTCTGAAACATCGCAGAGAACATCTCATACGAACAGTTCGGATTCACCAAACGCCCGGTGATTCCCTTCCACCAGCTGTGTGCAGTACCCTCCAAGTAATGCACAGCTATGTCCTTCTTGTAACCCTCAGGACAGCGGATAGACTCGAAGTTCCGCTCCAGTCTCATCCTCCACTCATCAGCCTCAATAGGCGCAGAACCTCCAGCAAAGAACTTGGTTCCTAGCCTCCTCATATGATCCAGCACCTTGAGGTAAGACGGAATCACCACACCCTGATCCGCCTCCCCAACTCCATCGGCAACTGCCGGTTCTACCACTTGTGGTGCCACTACTGGCGCAGGCGCAACCACTGGTAAACGCTCCAACACTTGAGCCAACAGCCCCAGAACAGCCTCCAACCCAACCGGTTGTGCTCCCGCAGCATTGACTGCCACGTTTCCAACATTGGCCGCAGCCACATTTGCAGCATTCCCAGCCGCATTCACTTGCTGGTCCATGACCACATTCTCAGTTTCAGAACTCTCAGTGTTCTCAGCACCATTCACTTGTGCTCTTGCAGTTCTCTTTCTCGGAACCATCTGCCAGACAGAAAAACTGGTTAGCCCGAAGCTAACCCCAGACAAGAGTTTCACACTCTACAGAACAACAGAACGCGAGACCTGGCAGTGAAAAAGGTGGATAGACTCTAACCCCAACTATGCAAATGAACTGTCCTAGAATCGACCATGCTCTGATACCAACTTCTGAAGACCCGACCGTCTATCACTAGACCAGCCCGAACCTCACCGAGTCTTCTCTCGGCCAGAATACAAAAACATGCATATTTTAAAAACTTTTCTTAAACTTAAACAAGTTCGATTCATCAAAAGACATCCATTCTCCTTGCATAATTATTCCAGAAACACTTAACAGAATTCAGATTCAATAACAAACTAACTTATCAGATTCGGTTCAACTCATAAGGCATTAACACAAGTACTTAAATAGAAACTCAAACTCAGAATATGAATCCCAAAACCCAGTCCTAATCCACCCCTTTCCTTCACTGCCTTCCAGTCCGCCTTCAGAGCTACTCGCCCTGGACTTTATCCTTACCTGCACACTCAAACAGAGAGGCATAAGTATTTAATAAATACTTAGTGAACACGGTCATCCCGTAACACCTTAGCCAGTACCAGAAACGCATCATACTATCAGTTATACAATTCACATTATCACTTAGCAAGCAAGCACAGAAAACAGTACGGTCCTATGATCATCTCAACTACTTGTGAAGCCTCACAAGGCATCGGTACTGCTCCAAGCGAGAATCACACATCCCCTTGAGCTAGTAACTCGATCCGGACATTCACACAGCTAGTTAGACATCATGTATTGACCACGGTTCACACATAACCATTCACAATCACAGAAACATTGACCTTGCTAAGCAGAAACCACTAACTTACACAAGCAATCAATGAAAATCAGATAACATAGCAATCCAACGATTCTAGATACAGACTACAGTCGCTCACTCACCTTAGACACAGAAACAAACGTTTCAGTCGAAAGAATCTCGGTGATTTCTCGATCAGAACTGAGATACTCGGACACACCTGCGATTTCTCGACTATCGCTCAGACTGGTCCAGCTAAAACTCCACACCTCTCGGCTATCTCTCAACCCGGTCACTTTTTCTCGGGCAAGAAGCTGTATTCCCTCGGAAACAGTATAATTCAGATCGATCAGCCAAAAGTTACTCGACAGAAACTCAACAGAAATCAGAATGGCCGAACACTTACAAGATTCACTCGGACGAATCGAAGTGCTCTCGGATATCACACGATCCGCTCAGAAATCCTCGGACAACTCGGTTATCCCCTCGGCAAACCCTCAAATCAGGACGAATGGTCGAAACAGATCCACAAAAACTCGGACAGAATACTCGATCTCTCGGTGATAGTCGGAATCGCCGGCGAAACTTCGATCTCTCTCGGCCAACTCTCGGGATAATCAGAAACTATGGGATTTCTCTCGACCAATCTCTCTCTCACGCGATATTTCTCTTAAATAATGCGGCTGTCTCGAGAAAAAAGTCTCAAAATCCCTTTTATATGCTCGCAAAACCTAGTTAACCCGGTTATAGCCGGCGTCTCCCGGTTCCAGTCAGGTTTATCCCGGTCAGCTTTGATTTCTCTCGGATATCGCCTAAACCGCTCGACCATCCCCACGAGAAATTAGTTTTTATCCGACCAAACTTCCAGCCAACGGGCCCAGCCCATTTTTACTCGGCTAAAACCACAAAGCCTCGGCTATTTTCCTTTTTACATGATCCATTTCTTTCGGACATAATCTATTTCCTCTCGGACATAATCACTTTCTCCCGGACAGAACCATTTTCTCCCGGACAGAACCATTTTTCTCTCGGATATGGTCCGTCCTGCTTGGCCAGCCCGGCCATCCTTCGACTATTTCCCAGTCATTCATCGACTATAGTCTGAACCTCCCATCCGTACGGATTTTCCCTTGACTGAACTCACATTCCTTCGGACAACCTCCTGTCCGGCTCGATCATTCCAGATTTTCTCGGATACGGATGCTACAGATTTCAGAATGATCCGTATCCGAGAGAATTCGGAATGATCGAGCTGGACAGGGCATTGTCCGAGGAATGATCGAGCCAAGGACATATATTGGCTGGGAACTGGGAGGTTCAAACTATGGTCGGGTGATGACTAGGAAATAGTCGGATGGATGGCTGGGATAACCGAGCCGGATGGACCATATCCGAGAAAAAATGGTCCAGTCCGTGAGAAAATGGGAGTGAGGTTGGTCCGAGCGACAGTGGACTGTGTCCGGGAGAAAAGGAAATCTCTGAGAGAAAAATGGAAAGTAGCCGAGGAACTGTGAATATCCGGGTGAAAAATAGAAAATGGCCGGACAGAAGGGGAATAACTCGGATAAGAACGGTTTATCTAAGAAAAAAGGGACTGGATCGTGGGCCAAGCATGTTAGGTCGGCTTATATGCGGTTATCACGCGGATGGTAGAGTTTGGTACGAATGATAGCCGAGAAAATCTAATCGGATCGGGATAAATCCTACTGGAACCGGAAAACGTCGATTTAGACCGAGTTAAGGGTTTTGCGAGTATATAAGGTGTTTTTGAGACTTAGCTCGGGGTATTGCGTTTATTTGAGATAAATAAAGCAAAGAGAGAGTTTAGTCGAGAGAAAACCCTAGAAAAAGAGTTTATCCCGAGGATAGCCGAGAGAGAGTGAAGGATCGCCGTACGGATCTGACCATCGCTGAGATAAACTGGTAAGCGATCGGATATTTCCCTTTGTGTCGAGTTTTCATCGGATAACCTCGAGCTAATAGCCTTGTTTTGTGGGGTTTCTGAGGGAAAACAGAGTTTGGCTTAGAAAAAAGTAAACGGATCAAGAGATAGCCAGAGTTGCTAGATGATATGATGTATTCAATAGTGAACCATTGTGATTTGTTTTAAGTTAACCCCGAATCTTGTTTAAGTGCTTTATTCAAGTTTAATGGAATGAAATGAAGTTGTTTTGAATCCGCTGTGTATTGATGAATAAAAAGAAAAAGTTAAAATATTTAGCTAAGTATAGACCAAACTGTTAGGATGTAGTGGTGGCACGGCTGCGGTATAGTTTGCCGGGTCGGGCTTCCACAGGATCTACAGTGTTTTTCTTAACTTGCATGTATGGAGAGTTCGGGCCAGAAGGAGGGAAATATGGAAAATGGTTATCTAGCATTGTTCTCGCAAGAGATGATGAATGGTTGTTAGTTGGTGATTTCAGCAAACTCTTGGACAATTCTGAGAAACTAGAGGATCCTTTGAAACATGAATCTACATTCTGAGACTTTCGGATTATGGCAGAGAATTGCAAGAAAAAAGTAACGAGAAGTTTGGGTAATACAATGTCTTGGGCAGGATAGAGAGATAGTGCATGGATACAATGCTGATTCGAAAGAAGCTTTGGGAATGGTCAATTCTTTCAACTTTTTCCAAGGGTTCAAACATAGTATTTGGATCGATTAGGCTATGATCACCGTCCAATACGAGTTAGCCTTGCTTTAGAGGGAGATGATCCAAATAGAGGAAGATATTATTTTGACAAACGTATGATGCAACGAGAGGGTATTAAAGACATCATCAAGTTAGGCTGGTGTGGAAGTGGAGACGATCTATCGGTTCTTTTTATGGAGCGGATAACAAGATGTCGTAGAGAAATCTCCAAATGGATTATATCTGCGGATTTGAACTCTCAGGATCATAGAACTCGCCTCCATTGCACTTTGGAAAGTGAAGTGAGTAAAGAGTACCCGGACAGAACCTTGATGTACAACACAAAAAGGGATCTTGCTGAAGCGTATGGTGATGAAGAGATACATTGGCGGCAAAAGTCCAGAGACAAGTGGCTAAAATCAAGGGATAAGAATACATCATACTTCCATAATTGTATGAAGGGCAGAAATCTTAGAATTCAGATCCTCATGCTGGTTGATGAATTAGGCCGAGAACAATTCCAAGAAGGCTCGAAAGGTGACATAGCAGTGGATTCTTTCTGTAATCTCTTCCTCAGCTCAAACCCTTTTGACCTAGAATCCCTTTTTAACGGTTTTAATACAAGAGTCATGGCTTATATATGTGATTTTTACTGCCCTAATATCTGTTGAAGAGATAAAAAAAAAGCAGCTTTCAATGTTAATGGCAGTAGTGCTCCGAACAAGGATAGCCTCACAGGTATACTCTACCAACGGTTAGTGGCATATTTTGGGACCGGAAATGATCTCTGAGGTTCAGAGTTTCTTTGTAACTGCAGTGATCCTAGCTGGCTGGAATCACACTCAACTTTATCTATTGCCAAAAACTATCAGTCCCACCAAAATGCAGGACATAAGACCTATTAGCCTCTGCTCAGTCTAATACAAGATTATTTCCAAGATTCTATGTGATCGCCTGAAGTGCATACTATCGGATATCATCTCATATACGCAAGGAGCTTTCGTCTATGGCCGCTTCATCACATATATCATTATCATTGCTCACGTGATGGTTCATGGGCTGCGAACGAATCCGAGATTGGAAGATAAATTCATGGCAATTAAAACAGATATGTCCAAGGCATATAACCGAGTGAAATGGTGTTTTCTGGAAACGCTTATGGAGAAAATGGGGTTCGATCATAGATGGATCAAATGGATCATGTCATGTGTCAGCACTGTCACATACTCAGTTCTGCTCAATGGTCTTGCTCATGGCTCCATTAGGCCAGAGCATGGGATAAGACAAGGGGATCCCCTATCTTCTTTTCTCTTTATTATATGTGTTGAAGTTCTGGTCAGTTGTCTTAACCAATCTGAGGCTCAAGGTCTCTTTCATGGTATTTGTTTAGCTGCGAATGGGCCTACGGTTCATCATCTTCTCTTTGTTGACGACAGCTTACTCATGTATAAAGCGACGGTTGCAGAGGACAATGAGTTGCCTCAAGATTTATGGAGAGGCCACTGGCCAACTCATAAACACAACAAAATCTTCAAATATTTGGCTCAAAGGTTGGAGCAATTGCTAAAGTGGAGATCAAAGTAGGCATGGGTATTGACAATGAAGGGGGTGATGGCTCATATCTTGGATTACCAGAAAGCTTCAGTGGCTCCAAAATTAAGTTTCTAAACTTTATTGAGGGGAAACTAAAAAACCGAATGCATGGATGGTTTGCATATGCAATATCTTAAGGCGGGAAGGAAATATTAGTAAAAGCTGTAGGATTATCATTGCCAGTATTTGCTATGTTGTGTTTTAAACTTCTTAAAGTCCTCTGCAAAAAGCTAATTAGTATCATGACAGAGTTTTGGTGGAGCAGCAGCAATGACAGGAATAAGATCCCATGGGTGGCTTGGAAAAAACTTTGCAAACCTAAGTCAGAAGGAGGTCAGGGGTTCCATGATATAAGCTGCTTTAAATCAAACCATGTTGGGGAAAAATGTCTGGCGCATCTGGGACAACCCTGATTCTTTGCTATCCCAACTCTTGAAACATCGCTACTTCCACAATTCATCCTTTTTAGAATGCGGATATGGTTCAAGACCATCATATGCTTGGTGAAGTATTCTACATGGAAGAGAGCTACTCAAACAAGGGTTAGTTGTATCTACTAAGGATGGTTTAAATACGAATGTATGGGCAGCAAATTGGATAGTTGATGGCATACCAAGACCCCCAATGTATACACAGGATAGTGTGATTGACTTAACCCTTAGAGTCTCGAATTTGTTGGATGCTCACACACAAAGATGGAATGAATGCCTATTACGTCAAAACTTTTTGCCAGAAGATGTGACAAGGGTAATGCAAATTAAACCGGCCATAATAGGTCATATATGTTCGTGTGGGGCTTTTCTAGAGATGGTCAATACTTGTCACAAAGTGGCTACCGGTTTCTGGATTCACAATGGGATTTACAAACCCCCCAAATTTACACTATGCCTCCAATTGAGAAAAAGCTGTGGGAAAATCGCTGGAAAATTCAGACTCCACCAAAGCTCAAAAACTTCATGTGGAAGGCTTTATCAGGTGCTCTTACTGTTAAGGAGAGATTACAATCAAGGAACATTCTGGTTGATGGCACATGCAGTATGTACGGTGATGGAATGGAGACAATATGCCATGTCTTATTTGGATGCAGGAATACGAAAACAGTCTGAAAAATATCAGGATTTCCTCTACCATTGTTTGGCTTCTCACCTACTTCGCTTTGGAATAGCCGCAACACCTTGGTTTTTTAGAACATCAAATGTCAACCGACATAGATTATCGCCAAAGCTCTAGATATAAGGTTGACTGATTGAGGATATATTACTTAGATCATATAAGAATCTTCTTTGCTCTTTACCTTAAAATCCTCCAAGTTTCTGGAAAATGCCATCTAACAACATGCATCCGCAATAACCACTCCTCGTGAAGTTAATTTATGGAGTCTACTATGGGATGTGGATTCAACAGCCACCATGAAGCTAAGGAACATTATCTTCAAGTCTTCTTCATTACAGTTAAGAGAGACCATGCTATAACCTCACTCTTCCCGGAATATCAAACTCTATAGTCCCAAATATTTTTTCATCTTTAACATATGGACTTTTGGACTTTGAATTACGTTGCTTCCGAAAGCAATCAGCCTGCCATAGAGATAGCAGTGAGCATCACCAGGGACCACCGGTACATTGGCCATCAAATCCTTGTGTGGCTCCAACCCCTGCTCATTTTGGAGGCCAATGAGAATCCCTAAATCGTCACAGCAATCATTGTCACCACATATGAACCCTTGTATATCTGGTCTGGTTTATACCTTTACTATTTTTCATAGAGCCTATATGCCTTGTAAGATGCCTATTGGTGTCACTTTGTGAACTCTCTTCCTTCTCTTTTTAATAAATAAACCAGCGTTAACAAAAAAAACTGACTCCATGCAAGTATAAAGATAGGTACCCCTCATCGTTCAAATGGTCCACAACTTCATTCTCGAAACTTAGGGATTTATGTTTTTCTTTATGATTTTAGTACTCGATTTTTTAGCACTCAAATTTGGTCAGCGTTTTTATTTTAAATACCTAACTTTCTTTGTAACATTTGAGCTCATTGTAATAGTAATAAAATTTACTCTTAAACCCACAACTATATCATTGATTTCAATAAGTGATATTTGAATTTAACAGTTTCCGCCATCTGTGGGTAACAAAGAACAAGTTTTTTGAAAAAGTCAAGGAGATCAAAGACGGCTGGAACACCACCTCCTGAACTACATGAAAAAATATTCTAGAAGGTCTACAGGATCAACGAAATCCAATAGACCCCAACGCTACACTAATATATCTAGCCTATTTTAACGGCATAAAATATCAACAGTCTCCACCATTTGTACCACCAGATGCAGTTGTCCCAACCGAGCTTACTACTTTCTGTTGGAACTTATTTTTGACAAATGGCTCAGGCCAGTTTTCCGACGATATTTCTGGTGAGCACAGTTACCGAAATGACCGGATTATGGATCTGGATTCCTTGTAATGCATACTATAAGATAATGTATTCACTTGTAAAAAACAATGTTGATTTGAATGAGAAATATTTGGCCAAAGTGGGCATGTAATCAAGACAAAAAGTCAACAAATGTCAAGATGAGCATTTTTCCCACATCGAAAGTTAGAAGAATTTTCCACTAGTATATATAGTGACACACTCTCAACAAGGTTCACTAGCCTTTAGAAGAGGACACTATGGAAAAAGAGAGAAAGGACTGTTATGCAAAACCACACACACACGCGCGTACTGTGTCGAGCCGGGCTTGGGCTTGGGTTCTTGGGTCTTGGTGAATGTGGGCTTTAGCCCACATAAAGCCCACAATAAGATGTTCTTTTTGGAGTAAATATTTATTAACTTATTTTCACAAATATGTTAATATTCCTTAAAGATAATTTACATAACTCGATAAATCTTTATGACTGGGTCAAAAATTAATAACAGAATATTTCCGTAATATTCCTGTTTTGCCCAGATCCTTATCAGAAAGAAATAAAAGATTTCTGGAATATTTCCGTCTCTCTTATTCTTTGCGATCAAGGAATAGAAGATTTTTGGACTATTTCTGTTTATCTTAGAGTAACGGCCAAGGAAAACCCTTGCGCCCCAATCCTTCCATCTGCTATGTATACTAACATCTCTCATTCATTATTCTTAATCAGTGAAACACATAGCTTTCGAAAACACAAATATCCAGCAAATCCCTCTCGTCTCTACAGTCTTAGGTAAGTCTCGAGAGTATAGCGTAGATTCTTAAGTTCGCAGATTCCATAGTCGGGTGCTGCGACTTTAGTCTCAACACAGTTGTATCCTGGGTTTCTGAATCTCATCAAACTGCCACACTGCAGGAGATTTAAAGAATTAAGGAAAAGATAATATCTCGACTCCGTTTATCGTCTTTTCCTTAAAGGTTTTATGAAAACGTTTTATAAATTATTATCGTTTATTATTGATTTCAATCGTTCTTTGATTCGTGGTTTTCAATCTGGATTTTCGTTGTCCTACAATCTGAATTCTTTAAATCTGTTTCCTGCTAATCGCTTGAATCGGATTGAATATTGCGAACATTCTTTAAAACGATTTCATAAAAAGATTTTAAAACGTTTTCTGATCGATCTACAACCTTCTGCGATTGTCTTATAGCCAACCATAGAACATTTGATCTTAAAAACAGACGATTATCATAAAGACACAAAACGATTTCTGCGTCAACCCTAGGCAGGATCACGAAACGTTTGTCTATAAACGATCTTATAGATCTCATACATAGCGTTTAAGAACACCTTTAGGTGATTTATGGGAACGACTATTAGGTTTTAAGAATGCTTTTAGGCGATTTCTGTGAACAATTAATAGCGAATTAAACGTTTTTAATCGTTTCTCTAGATTGTGGTCTCAAAAACTAACCTAGTTCGTTTTCTGTGATTAGATTCAGAATGTCTACTGACGTTGGACTTCCAAAGAACACAAGTGAGCCGACACTCCCACAAGGGAATGGTCTACCACACACGGTTCCATCGATTCTAACCGCTGGACTTCAACCTGAAAAGTTTGATGGAACAAACTTCAAGCAGTGGCAGAAGCAGATGCACTTCTTTCTATCCACATTGCACCTGGAAAAGTATCTCACTGAGACTAAACCAGTGCCTCCTGCTGAGAATACAGATCTGCACATGCTTGCTACTGTCCAAGCGTGGATCCATGCGGACTTCCTGTGCAAAGGTTACATCCTGAATAACCTTGCAGATCAGCTGTACGGCCTGTACAGTGAAGGTTACGAGACTTCCACGGATGTCTGGATTGCTCTCGAAAACAAATACAAGACCTTCAACGTGAGTTCTGGAAAATTTGCAACTGCAAAACTCCTTAACTTCAAAATGGTAGACTCAAGGCCTCTTATGGATCAAGTGCATAAGCTACAAACGATATTCCAGCAAATATCAGATGAAGGCATGAAGCTGTGTGAGACCTTCATGGTTAACTGCTTCATGGAGGTGTTGCCCCCAGTCTTGGACGGTTTCAAGAGCTTCCTCAACTACAAGCAGAAGCCTATGTTGTTGGCTAACATGATTACCAGGCTTCATAATGAGTCAAAAAAACGTGACAAGGCTGAAACACCTCAGACACATGACGTCAATGTGGCTGAGTTTAAGAAAAAGGGGAAAGGAAAGGGCTTTCCTCCAAAGGCTGCGATTCAAAAAGTTGCAAATCAAGCCCCCTCGAACTTCAAGAAGCAAGCTCACGCTCTTAACAAGAAGTTCTCTGGAAAGTGTAACCACTATGGCAAGATGAGACATCGCTCTACAGACTGTCGCAGTAAGGCTAAGGGTGTTAATCAAGCCAACCTAACTCAAGCTGATCTGTGCGCAGTTGTAACAGAAGCTAACATGGTTGAAGAAAACCCAAGGACATGGTGGTACGATACTGGCGCTACCACACACATCTGCATTGGTAGAGATATGTTGAATACCTATCAAAAGAACAAAACTGATGAACATCTGTTGATGGAAAACGTATCCCACTCCAAGATTGAAGGTACCGGTAAGGTGGTGCTGAAGATGACATCAGGAATGGAGATCACGTTCTCAAACGTGAAGCATGTTCCAGACATGAGGAAGAATCTGATCTCTGGCACACTGCTGAGCAAGCATGGATTTGCAATCAATTTTGAATCTTAAGATTGATTTTTTTTCTTTGACATCCAATCAATATTAGATATTGTTTGAATTCATAATTTTTAGTAAGCTTTACTTAATTTCTATTATTGTATTTGTATAAATAAACCATTCACAACTTTCAAGTAGCGTCGATTTAAAAAGAAAAATAAATATTTCAATGGCTGTACTCTTTTGGTTTCACATGGTAAAGATATGTTTGTGAATCAACCTAAATGGTTATGATAATTATGAAATTTTGGGCATGTAGCCTTTGTTAATTGACTTATGGATATCAGAGTTTATCGGGTTCTTGAATCATCAATATTTTGTTATTCAACATGTGTGTTTTTCTTCTGTGATTTGTCTCATGAAACGTATTGAACCAGAAAATCATCACTAGGGTTTGATTAACAGTTGTGGTTTCGGATAATAAGGTCTTTTTATTAATAGCAAGTAAGCGAAACGATTACAAAGAATGGGATAACCGAGAGGTTATGCCGAAGTGAAAAGAATGTTTGCGAAGTAAACTAGAAAGCGTTGGAGTCTCTGATTTTAGCTCTGCTACTCTCTAGAATGTATTAGTTGTTCTTCTTGGCTTCGAGGTCCTCTTTATTTATAGGGATAGAAGGTCGGTTCCTCCCAAACTCCTTTCCCTTTTTGTTTTTTGTGTATATTTCCATATCTATGATATGGAAATATCCTTTATTCTCCAAAGAATAAGGAAATTCTCCTTTATCCTTTGAGTTAGTCCGATGTTTCCGGTCTTCAAAGGTTATCCTCAAGAGATTTCCGCTAATCCGAGCTAGGTCGACGCAGTCTTCCTGGTCTTGATGGACTTTGGTTATTGTGAGGGAAGACCTTTTAGGAAATGTGCTCATTTTCCCTCTAACAGTAAGTCCCCCCCAGTTCGGTGAGACTGATTGTAAATCAGATCGGCGGACTTCATGAAGTTATAAATGGGTTTGACCTCGCAATAGTTGTTAGTTCGTCGAGAGCGTTATTTTGCGATGGCCAGCTCGGCCTGATTTTAAACGGATTTTCCGCGTGGCGCTTCAAGAATTTATTTATTAAATACTCCGACCAATTAGGGTTTCTGCT